GAAAGAAAGAAAGAAAGAAAGAAAGAAAGAAAGAAAGAAAGAAAGAACAGCTGCCACACGGTGCTGATGAGACCTCATCACCTTTCCTCCAGGCAGCGGAGAACACAACAATAGATGGTCGAGCTGGATGCGATCCAAAATAACCCACATTTTCGAGTGGACGCTTCTCATAAATGGATTTGAGAACGCTGCAAGCAACAAAGAAGGTCAGCAAGCGTTCGCCTGCTGTTGCGCTGCATAGTATCGCATTGGTACAATACTATAAATAAAAATCTATCAATGGCTTCCAGAAACAGAGGAGAATTGCCAAAAGGGAAGGTGCCACAGCGCAGACGGCAGCATGGAAGGGCTCCACTGATCTCCAATCTTCTGCCAAAAATTTTCTAGAAGTTCACCAATTGTGTACAGGGTTCCTTCTTCATCAGCCATTCGCCGGTTTCTGGGAGTGGGTTGCTCTTTAGAAGAGAATATTTATAACTCAGGGTTGAACGGTGAGATCTTTGGTCCTCTCTGAGCTTGTTGGTTTCCTTGTGGATGTTTCATAACCCAACTAGGGAACATCACCAGTGCTACCCATCTTTCCCCGAAAATAAAACCAGGTCTCATATTAATTTTTGCTTTCAAAAGGCGCATTATTTTCCGATTAAGTCTTATTTTTAGGGAAATACGGTACTAAATGCACCTGTCTGGCTGACAAGATTAACTGGAGCTTATTCTGGGGTAGGGCTTGTATTATAAGCATCTGGGAAAAGCATGCTAGGGCTTATTCCCTGGTTGGGCCTTATTCTGGGGGAAACACAGTAGAAGGGAATGCTAGAGTCCCGCTCCCTTCTAGCACTGATGATGTTACCAAGTAGGATCATGAAATGTCTATGAGAAAGTAACCAAGCTCAAAGAGCACCAAAGATCCTACAAGTCTCCTCCTCCTCTTCCCTTTCCTCCACGTGATGAACCCCGTTCCGTCCTAGCACTGATGCTGTCATGAAACATCTGCAAGAAAACGACCAAGCTCAGAGA